ATATCATATATCTCATCTATATGATAAAAAATATATATATAAGAATAAGTGAGATGTGACTTTAGTGTAATAGGTGCTTACTCTGTAGTGAAATGGCAAGACTCTTTTTTAGTTGGTCCTGTTTTAATCACATGAGAGTTGGGCAGTATAACCAAACCTTTTTTTAATGAAATAATAAATTTCCTTTCATAAGTGCTCAACTAACTAATAAATTGTGCACATATTTGATGGAAAGATGGCACCGATGTATTAGTGTCAATGAGAATTCTGAGTCAAGCATCCAATATATCTCAAAGAGTAATATCTTGATTATAACATGGCCTCAGTGCTTGAGACGGTGGCTATCATGTTGGGTATATGGTGTACTATTTAAGAATAAAATCTTACATTATGGGTGGAACTTGGCTGCAGCATTAGAGGAAGATACTTAGTCGCACAGATGGCACGATGCAAACAGGTCTATAAACGTATTTGCAAATGATACTAGAGTTGGAAATTAAAATGGCATTGTGAATACACTTATAGCTGTTTTCTTCCACTAAAAGAGCCTTCTGTTCCTTAGTGTTTATTCACAAAAAAATTTGCATAATCCTTGCTTTTAAGGAATACTCTTTATCTCCTCTTATTCCCCAAGTTACCTTGTTGTTGCTGATCATAGCATAAACAATATATACTTTCACAGCACTTTAAATTTCCTCCTAACGATTGAGTTAGGTGTTTGTCTAGAAAGATACATGAGTTTTCTTTGGGATGTGTTTGTTTATGTATTGGTCAAAATCAGCCAACAGCATACCTGAAATGTTATTGAGCTTTGTACACATGATCTTGGAGAAGGTGATTATGAGTAAATTGACAGCCTCAGGAAAACAATGAAAGGCTTTTATTTTGCAGAAACTTATAAGTATTGTTCTATAACATTTGCCAGATTTTACTTTTTAAAATTCTAATAACCTGTCTTTCTCTTTCCCTCTGTTGTTGCTACAGATCCACATCCAGAGAACTGAAGGATGTGACCATATGACCTGTTCACAATGTAACACTAATTTTTGTTATCGATGTGGGGAGAGATACCGCCAGCTCCGTTTCTTTGGAGACCACACATCAAACCTCAGTATATTTGGATGCAAATATCGCTACCTCCCAGAGAGACCTCATCTAAGGAGATTAGTGCGAGGGTCGGTCTGTGGTGAGTATCCAACATGACTTCCAGGACTCTTCCCTGGAAAGTAAGCAGAAATGCTAGAACTTAGAAATGTAAAAGCCATGATAATACTGAACGCCCACCAGGTATTCTAGTGGGGACTTTCCTCGAAACAGGAGGAAGGTATTCTTTCTCCCTTTAAGTTTAAAATGAAAAATTTAAGTTTGTTAGCAGGACCTTACTTACATGAGCAAGCAGATTTTGTTCGAAAAACAAATTATTCATTATACTGCAGAAATGTGAAATCGTTAGTCTTTTAAATTTCCGAAACCCTATTGTGAGCCACTTATTGAAAGGAGCAATGTCACATTTATTTTTGTGTTGACAATACCTAGCAGCAAATCTTCCATGTATCCTCTATTCATTCATGGAGGATGTACAGTACAATTTTAAAAAAAACCATATGTTTTAAAGCCCTGTAATGGAGTTCCATTGTGTCTATATAGTTGATAAGTCACTGTATATATATTTCTATTAATAGTTCATATTAATAGCTAACAGTTAATGAAATGAATATCAAATGTCCTCATCGCATACAAACCCAAGTTTAAATATCCAAGTGCAATGCTTTTATGTATTTTTTATGTCCCTCTTCATCCTCAACAACACACAGTCTCATACACAAACATGCAAACATGCTCTGGCCCAGTGCCACCACCATTCTGGGAGTCAGTGTTCTGCTGACCTAATAGTTCTTCCAGTAGCTCACTACTCCTTGGGAATGCACCCACTGTGAAATTTCTTCCTCTCTTTTCATCATGAAGAATGCCATTATTTCTTTCTCTGGCAGTCTTTCCCATGCATATGCAACACTTGTTAACATCTTCCTCATTTCTTCCATTTTTCCACCTATTTTGGCCTAGTTACTTCATGAAAATCTCTTTATATCTCTCTTTAGCTCTCCATCACTTCATTTCTATTGCAAATCACTCCCCTCTCTAGAATTATATG